CAATTAAAACATTACAACCAGAATCAGGACCAATTCAAGGAGATTTACATTTAATGAAAAACTAAAATAAAAATGGCCAGGACCTTCAACACTTCTTCTGAGCCCACGCCTTTGGCGTTGCATTCACTCCATTTCAGACAGGCCATGGGAGTAGTCCTCCCTCCCAGGCAAGATCCACAGAAGAACCATCATGAACAGTTCTAACCCTATAATGCACTGGAATTGCAGAGGCCTTCAGAACAATTATATTGATATGCAGCTATTGACACAAGATTTGATGGCTTCAGCGTTTTGTTTGCAGGAAACGTTTTTATAGATACAGATCAACTCAACATTTGACAATATAATTCCTATCAGTTCTTTTCACATCCAGGGGCTAAGGCAACTGACGGTTCTTCAATCTTGGTGAGGCAGGGAGTTATTCATTGACCTGTTTCTCTCAAGACCCCTCAACACGTTATCACAGTGTGACCAGCTTCCTAAGCCCTGTATCATCATGGGCGATGTGAACGGACATAATCCTCTTTGGGGTAGTAAAGGCCAGATCCTTGAAGATATTATTTCCAAAAATACTCTGTGCCTTTTTAATGATAATTCGAAAAACATTTTTATATCCTGGTACATCTACAGCCACATACTCTTCTCTTGATTTGTCTGTTATGGGGGCACGGGTGGCCCAGTCGTCTAAGGCGCCGCAATTCGCAGAAACCTATGACTGTGGTTTCGAATCCCTGTTCGCCCAAACTATGTTTCTAGCTATAGGTTTGTCAGCACCAGACACGTGCTCGTGGGTTTCACCAAAGTGGTAAGCGTCCAACACCTGCATCCACTCGGGGTTTCCTCCCACATTAAGCTGACACGCCGTGATATAACTGGAGTACTGTTAACAGCGGTGTTAAACACAACTCACTCACTCACTGTTACAGATTCCAACCTACTACATAAATTTGAGTGGCCAGTCCACGAAGTGACCACTTTCCAACCCTTCTAAACCCCATTACCCCATCTGACGTTCTGAAAGGCTAACTGGCCTTTATATGACATTCTCTGTACAGCCAAACTGAAACCTGGTCGCTTTACTGACGTTCCTAACCCTATACAAGCTTTTCTGATGAACTCAAAAATATAGCTGAAGAATGTGTTCCAAGGTCCTCTGCAAATCCCCATATACGATTACCATGGTTAAACTATGCCTGCAAACGAGGTAGGTAGGCGAGCAAAAGGGCGGAGCGTAATTTGAATAAATTAAAAAAATAAAAGCCAAAGCACGGCGTACATTTCAACAAAGTAAACGCTAATCTTTGCGAAATTATGTGTTAAAAATAGATTAACGAAAGCTCATGTCCAAGGTATGGAACATGATATAAAAAATCAAAGGTAGGGGCACTAAATTTAGTATTCATTATCTTGAAACTTTGTGAAACTTTGTTTAAACACTCTTCCCCATCTAACTGTGTACCTAAATTTCAAAAGTATCAAAAGCAGCAAGAAAAGAAAACTCTTAATTTTAATTCATGATCAGATAATGGAAAAGATTATAATGAACTATAGTCTATTCATGAGCTCCATACTGGCCTTGGACAAGCTATGATACTGCTAGAGGGACTGATAACATACACTATCAACTCCTGAAAAAACTTACCAGAACCATCTTGAGAAACACAATTGAACATTTTTGATGAAATCTGGACGTCAGGGACATTTACCCCTTCGTCCTGTGATGCTATAGTTGTCCCAATACCGAAACCCGGTCGAGATATACTGATCCTTCAAATTACCGACCAATATCCTTGACAAGCAGTGTTGCAAAACCATGGAAAGCATGGTAAATAATCGACTAATTTGGTACTTAGAAACCAACAATTTTATTACTAATATACAATTTGGTTTCCGAAAAAAAAACCAGAAGTACCATAGATTATTTAGTTCCCTTAGAATCATTCATTCAGAATGCAATAATCAATAAACAACATGCCGTGTCAATCTTTTTCGATCTGGAAAAAGCATATGACACTACCAGGAAACAGGGTATTTTAAAAGATGTACATAATTATGGATTGCGAGGCCGTATGCCTCTATTTATATCCAAGTTTGTAACCGACAAACAATTTCCGCCTGTCTGATCTTTATAATCAGGATCAGGGTGACCAACAAGGCAGTATCCTGTCTGCCACAGTGTTTGGTATTAATTAAACAGCTGATCAAAAGTGTTACATGATTCAATTGATTGATCGCTGTTCATCATAAAGGCCTGAGGCTCTGCCTTGGAGCCTGTAGAACATCGTCTATTTACAGTCTGTATGTGGAGGCTGACATTAAACGACGTCACATTAAATTTTCTTTGCAGTATATCTCTGAATTACGTTCTACTAAATCCAATCCAGCGTAGGTTTTTTATCCTCTTTACAAAAATCTCTACAATAAGAAATTATCTCTTATTCCACCACTTGGAATAAGATTACAATCTGATGTTTCTGCTGCGCAGCTTTTCTCTTCTTCACCGTGGCAGTTATAGTGAATCACGAAGAACACAATGGCCGGTGCAAAAGCAGCTCTCAACAAATCGGTGACACCACTTTTAATTCATACAGTGATTCGAAACCTGTTATTAGATGTTACATTCGAGATTGGATGCAAAAGAAATGGGACACCCAAGTAGGTATCTTTAAATTACATGAAATTAAACCAACTATCAGTTACACCTACTTGGGCTGTCAGTCCAGATTTGAAGAGGTCATTATGCGACGATGTCGTATTAGCCACAACACATATACCCATGAATATATTTTGAAAGGTGAGGATTCTCCGTTTTGTATCCCTTGTGATTAATGAATCGCAGGCGAGCATGTCCTGCTTGACTGTATTGATTTTTCCATCACAACAATATTGCAGTGTAAAAACAGTCAAAGACCTTTTCAGTCATGTACATCATCATTTAATATTGTGCTTTTTAAACAAAATAGGATTAATTCATAATTTTGAATGTACAAAGTGATTTTATTAGATATATTTGTAGTGCTGATTATTAACTTAGATTGCTGGTGGCTGTACCCTCGAGCGGAGTTGAAGTAACGTTAAAGTATTGTCCCCCTAAGAGCGCATATTTAAACGTAGTATTTTCGTCATTTTAATCTTCGGCTTAACTGGTAAACTATCGCCAGTGACTGAAGGTATGATGTAAATCCTGCCGGTGTCCATGCAGGGAACAAAGGTACTTTAAGTCCCCATGGTCCCTAGTATGGTGCACCCGTGAAGATCCAGGTTAGAATAGGTCTTCAGCAACCCATGCTTGCCATAAAAGGCGTCTATGCTTGTCGTAAGAGGCGACTAACGGGATCGGGTGGTCAGGCTCGCTCACTTAGTTGATGCATATCATCGATCTCAATTGCGTGGATCGATGCTCATGATATTAATCACTTGATTGTCTGGTCCAGACTCGTTTATTTACAGACCGCCGTCATATAACTGGAATATTGCTGAGTGCGCCAGTTAAACAACAAACCAACCAATCCTAGTATGGTGATCTCCCTTTAGTTACTGACGATCTCTAGCCCATTTTTATATTGTGTTGTTAACTAATAATGTTTCTTATGACAAGCTTAGGCTACTTTGTCCTAGGAAAATCGTTAACCTGTTGAATCAAGTAAATAAATGTGCCTATACTCCCATAGAGTATAACACAAGATCACCTGTGTCTTCAATACACCTGCTTCTTATCAGGCTGGCTCCACAAACTGGTCATGTGTTGGCCAATATTAGTATTTTTCATCATATTTTCTTATCATGTTTGTCTGACATAAACGCGGATGATGGTCACGTGTGTTTCTTTTGCCCTTGATCCTGGTTTGTGTCTTGCTGGACTAGTTGTCAGATTACCTAGTATTTTATTATCATCGCGCTTTTTTAAAAGGCAAGGATCCTCCAATAAAAATAACCCGCACGTACAGAAAAACCTGTCTCCTTTCATAAGGGCACGGGTGGCCCAGTCGCCTGAGGCACCGCGAGTCGCTGGGCAGAGTCGCTTGGGCATGCCAGAATCCTATAATTGTGGGTTCGAGTCCCGGTTCGCCCCGGTTATGTTTCTAGGTTTGTCAGCACCAGACCCGTGCTCGTGGGTTTCACCGAAGTGTTAAACGCCTGACACCTGCAACACTTTGGGCTTTTCACCCACATTAAGCTGACACGCCGTGATATAACTGAAATACTTAAACCCAACTCACTCACTCACTCACTCTCTCATAACGAATTATCCTTATTCGGTATTTATGTCAAACCCTTCATGAATTCCGAGTTTGTCAAACCTTTAGGAATGGCATTTGTACAGTGTCAATGCGAAGTCTGATACTGTGATTAGTTCGTGAAACTGTATTCTTCATATTGTCGCTGCTTTCCATACACATAATTCACAGGGAAAGGTACACCTGCATATGTATACTGTCGACTGACCTTAATCGTAGAACGATAGACACATCTTTACATCCATACCATAGTCAAAGTTTACAAAGGCCACACAGGGCCATTACAAAAACGGGGAGAAGGCCTTTCATAATTGGGAATAAGGCTGTTATTAACCTGAAAGAGTAGTTATGGTATGGAGGATATTTTTCCCACACGTTTGAGCGGGGATTTACCTGTTGATGTGTACTGTATTACATTCAGTCCATGAGGTTACCGTTTAGAATTGGAGCAGCATAAAACAAAAACAAAAACAATACAGAGCACCCAAGCAGATATTTGCGGTTCGTAGAACCATGTCATTGTTATTTCCACTTTGTTGATCAATGTCGAATAGATAACGGGGACTTCAATTGGCGAAGCCAAGTAATCGATGTATATATATAGGAAGTACTAACAGTCAAAAACCTAACCAGAAGTTAAAACAGGTAAATATCAGCACCATATAATGTTTAAGATCAGGGTCACACTCGCAATTCTGCAAAGATTTCTTACCATGGTCGAATGACATTTTTGATATATAGTAATAATGACATGAGACTCAGTGACGCCAAATCATATATTCAAACGCTGACAACATAATTTCAACATATTTTGAACTTGTTTAATTATGTCAGTTATAATTGTCAAAATTATCCTTCTGATGCATTTTTAGATGGGACAAGCTTGGCTGTGACAAGCGCAACTGAAGAAACATATCCTGCTGTCATGCTGTTAGAGAAGTGGAACTGTACCAGGTTAGCCCCCGCGACAAAGAGGGATGTAGGGACAGCAAACTCCCAAACTTCCCAATAGGTGGTGCTGTTAAACTTGTCGGAATCATACAGCTTATAGAACGAGTCAAGGGGGTTGAGGTTAAAGGTAACATACGATACATTGTTTGTTTCATTGATCGGCCAACTGGTTGAAACTCTCAATCTTGCACTGTGGTATTGGTCATTTGGTAGATTTATGTCAGTCAAAGCGATTTTGTCTTTGATTGGTATAAGAATATCAGCGCCGTAGTATGTGGTTTCGTTGAGAGTGACAGTAGGTAATTGGTCTGAGGGGGTCGTGAATGTCAAGTGACATGTTGCCTCAGGGGGAAGTTCAAACATTCCTTGTGACTTCTGGATGTTAAAGGGCTCGTTGAAGGTCATGATCGGATACCATTCGTCCTTGATGGTGATGCAAGTAGCTTCTCCCTTGGCTGGTTTCATCCATTCGTCCTTAAAGTCAAGCTTGACTGTTTGCAACTTCTGAGAATAGCTATGTAAGAGAATGACGGTTTCGTTATGCAGGGAACTGGACATTGCTAAGGGAGACACGGTTCGTTCCTGTCCATCATATTGGCTGTATGTTCTGATAAAAGAATAGTCTGACGAGAATTTGTACCAAAAATCAAAGACGTCGACAATACGTGTAGCGTTTCCTTGAAGAGTAAAAAGTGACCAGTTGAGACTATCATGTCCTGGATATTTTTCATTGTCTAACAGAAACACCACTGTTCTGTCAATGTATTCCCTTAGACTGAGTTGGGTAAATCTGTGGGCATTGGAATGGTATATTGTTGAGAAGTCTACTATACCTGATGGAGCAAATTTGTCAATTCCTAACACAATATCGCGGCCATATTCACTGATAACAAGGGGGACAATCTTCCCTTTCTTCTGAGAAGCATAACTTTCAACCAGGTCGACAAATGCTACCAGACGTGCTTCATTCATTCCAGTGAGATTGTGAGATTTGCCTGCCACGATGAGTGAATTGTACGAATGAAAAGAAAATGCATCTAAATAGTCTAATGTGACGTCCATGAAATATGCCACTTGTTTCCAGTATGAAAAGTCGTTTCTATCTGCTGACCCTGTTTCGCCGTCAAGTGTAGGCCCAGACACTTTGATGTTAAATCTGGCATGGAGTTTCTCCGCAACTAATTTGTGGAAGATGGCAACAGTCGTAAAATTCCAGATGTCAGTCTTAGCGTCTGGTTCATTTATGGGCTCGAAGTAGGGTGGGATCTCTCCTTTAGTATAGTCATATACTCCTTGCATCATCAACACTATGAACTCTGCAGCGGCATCGATGTTGTTGGGGAATTGCCCCTCATGTTCTGACTGGTTTATCCAACTTGGCCAGTTATGAGCTTAAAGCAACAATATGATGGAACATGAAACTGACATACAAATGAAATTAAAAACATCTATGTGCTTTCGATAAGAATATGTTCATTTGTGTTTGATGTGTTGTCTTTTTAAGAAACATAATAAGTGACCAATCTGATTATCATGTATGGTGAAATAGATGAACACTAAATTGCTTTTAGGCATTTGCCTCCAAATATACTTCTCCACCTTTGACAATGGCATTTGTTTGTTTTTCATGATATGCAAAACTGTTTCTCACAATGCGTCAAGATTAGTTTAAAATAAAATGACATATCTGATCAAAACTTGAAATATATACATTAAATGCCTCTGCAAATCTCCCATAATATTTTTTTTACAAACAAATGCATTAATGATTATGGAGTGTTGGTCTTTCAATTCACTCGAGTTGTATGATGGGGAAGGACGCGCTCACCTGCCCATTGAACGCGACTGAAGGTTTCTGAATGAGTAGCCTATATTATGCTCAAACTCTTCTTGTGGTAAAATGTTTGCGACAGAAATACAAATCTGAATACACCTAAGATCTTCCGTTTGAAATATACTTATTAAGCTATTAAATGACAGTGTTTCTTTCAGAATTGTCTTACCTCTCGCCATCAAGATCATTTCATTCTTATAACCACTGTTAATGTTAGCAAGGTAGTTGGAGAAGAGTTCCTGCTGTTTGGTGACATTCTTCAAGTAGTTGGAGTCAGGGTAGCCGCTACGGTTTGTGTCTTCTGGCCACTGTATAATTGATAAATGAAAATAACGGTTTGTTATGATCTATTTATGTCAACGCAAACGTTATGGATAACAACTTCTTAATTGTTTGTAACAAAGCTCCAAGGTTACGTCTTGTCCCATCATCATCAAAGACATGAAGAAACGTTATGGATAACAACTTCGGTATTTTTTCTCCAAACAATATTTTAGAGGTTATAGTTGTTCAACACAGCACTCAACAGTACTTCAGCTATATATGACGCCGGCATTTAAATGATCGAGTCCAGACTAGACAATGTAGTTATTGATACTATGAGCAACGATCCACGCCAGAGGTGTACATTGACACGCCATCCACCAAGACAGCGAGCCTGATCAACCGATCCATTAAGTCGCTTCTAAGCTTACGATCCCCTTAGGTTGTTACGGACTAATGCTGACCCAGAATCCCCACGTATAGGCTCTTCAAGTAATAATTGTTAATCCTAATAGAAAAAGGCATAAACCACTGTCATATATATTAAGTACAAGGAAAAAACAAAGAATCGCATTAGAAAGAAAATCTCACATCTTGGAAGAGACGATCACTATCATCTGGGTGTATCCAGCGCCCACTGTCAGTCCGAATGCTCCGACAGTTTGCGATAAGGGACTCCTTTTCCAGGCCGTTATGCTTGTTCCACCTGTCACTCTCATAGCGAACTCTACCGCCCTGTGCCAGCCACTGAGGGTGGATCGTCACCGTCGTGTCACTGTACACACCGCCTAATATCAGACTCAAAGTGAAATAGACAAGTCTCCATGTCATTGTCACTGGAATGTAATGTATCATTGTCTTCATGCAGAATTGAAATGATGTACTGGGGAGCGAGATCTTTTATAGTTAGAATGCATGGAAATCACCTGTTGCCGTGACACTGCCGTTCTATAAATGTGTATACATGATAAGGAATTGCGCTGTCATGTAGGTGTGGTGATAGGGTAGCCAAGATTTGGAAGTTACTTTGTCCCTCTACAACGTCTGTCGTACGAGGAGTTGTAAGTATGTTCACAGTTTCACTGAAATGCCAATTCCTAAGAAGAGGATACTCATTTTTTTATATCAAGTCCAACTATTATTTGAAAATACCAACGATGACGATTTTGAACCTTTAATGTGTTTCTGAGATGTGTTGCGTCTGTCACAGAGAACATTTTCTCTTTGTTAGACTGTATTATATTAGGTCCCTTACTCTTGCCTCGACGGCCGAAGACATATGCATGCATATTTAGGCCCTAACCAAGGGGTATGTGAACATGGGTCAAATAGTTCAATGTGCTGGTCGCCGTGCATGGACTGTTTTGGCCAGCTTGACGTTGCTATTCTATTTTCTACTTTACAACAAGGTTAGTATGGTGAACGTTGGATGGAATATTTAACCGAAAATTGTTACTGATGTTGCACAAAGTTTTGTTACCATGGCAACGTAATGCAAAACTATCTCGTTGCTATTGTTCCCCAGTGTATGCGGAAAATATGATGAAAAATGCCTAGTGTGTGATAGGATATGCTGTTAACATTATTTTAGCCATCGACTTGTTTTGCCCATTTACATCATTTTTACTTTGGTGACCCAAACTTTTGTATTTGCTGTAAATGTGAAATAGGGTCGAGTGAAGGTCAAAATTCATGTATCACAACGACCGGAAGATGTACATGTATATGACCATAATCCCCACATCATAATGACAGGTGTATAACACTTTGAAAAAGGGATGGATTAGTAATACATAGTACTGCCTAAAAGTTCATTCCCCTAACACGCGTTGCGAACAAAGTTGAGCACCCGTTGAACACGCGTGTGCAACGGGTGTGCAGCGCGTGTGCAACCCGTTGAGCACGCCTGAGTCACTCGTTGCACACGCGTGTGCCACGCGTGTAACACGGGACCGGGTTTCAGTTGAAGTTGGAAAATATATCAAATGGATAGTAAGATAAATCAAAACAGTGAGATGTGAATCTTGAGTTAATGAGCGGCCATTGACCTGTGTTCACCAGACCATGAACACGAGGTCGGCCAGTCTTAATTAGTGTTCGGTTGCTGGACTTTTATGGCATGAACCATTCCACGAGGGTCCAGTCTAGCCAATTGTGGCTACCCGACAGTAGAACAGTAGTGAGTTTAGAAGCGAGTTTATTGCTAATGGGAATCCCCGAGTTGACACGATTGTCGCGGGTTGGTAAATGCCCGCCATTAATTAAGCGATCGTTTGTGGATTGCGAACATATTCGTCTTAAGTTTTGCTCACGTGAGTCATTTAGGGTGACTGCAAATATAACGTTTTTCGTTCGCCAAATTTATGCTTTAGATAGTACAATTGTGATAGAACAGTCATCACTGCTTATGTCTTATCATTTCACGTAGGAATATATCCCATTTTCCCACACCCCACTTTCTGTTTGGTATTTTGTAGAATTATTAAGAGAAAGTTTTGTGTGGGACTTAACATTTATCACTAATTCTAAGAGGATATTGGAAATGAATATGAACAGCCATTTTGTCTCACTGTTGATAGAATTTAAGATCTTTACAATCACCGGGTGTGACCATGTGGACAGAATCTCGTTAGGGTTTGTGATTTTTACATTTGCCCAATGACCATGGTGAGTATTGTTTTGGATACCAAACGTGACAGTTTACTATTAGAGGAAATTAGTTGTGAGTACTTATACCATTTGGATAGGATATCTTTAGGATTTTAATCCTTTCTTTCTCTGTGGGTAATCCTTTCACATTGATTGAAGGAAGTCACTCAACCAGGTCATGACAATGGTTATGCGCAAGGCTCGGAATCGCGAAAAGATCACTGGAGGTGTTGATGGAGGCCTTAAATGCAGCATACAGCATTTCCAGTGTAGGCTGGCACCTCGTCTTTGTTTCACTCGGTATTTAAAACCTTGACCATTCACAGGTGCATTTGTCTATTTACAATGAAGTTGTTGAGCTTTCCAAGTATTTCTATACTATCTCACTGATTACTTGTTAATTGGTCACTGCAAGTGCCTTAATTATTTAAATTTCGGTGAACTGAGTTTATTCACATGTTAGCTTTCAAAGGTTGTGATGGATACTTGTATAATCCTCAGTTGAGTTTACTCACTAACTACTGTGAGCGTTTTGGCATGACTTCTGTGCTTGTACAAACACAGTAACTGATAAAAGCGGCGTAAAACCATGCTCACTCACAGTAACTGTTAATCCTCTGCATTGTGCTGGCAAACTGGGGATAAACCTGTGACGATCAAACTTCGTTAGAATCCTTGTTTATCTGTGACATCTTCCAACTGGTGACATTTTAGTAAACTTGAAAAGTGATGATGAATTTTAATATTCATATTATTATAGTTTTTCAAATTGTAAATAAAACTTTGATAAAATTGTGCTACACTCTCTGGAAAAATGTATTGTGTGTGGGTAAGTTTATATGTCACGTCACATTAGCATTTTTTCAGTTTTATTGCGGCGAAATAATTGCCAGCTTTTGGGACAACATGTAACATGGCTGCTTTCATATTTCTTATACAGGTGCTTGACTACCTCAGTAGTGCATGATTAATTAGAATTTTTATTTTGTAAACAAATCAGTCAAGTTTGCAACAATAGATGACTAAGTTGATGAATTTGGACCGCAGTTACCGATTAACAACTTAAAAACACAGAGACAGGTCGTCGATATATAACAAACGTTATGGTCCTGTTAAGACGATTGACAGTTAGAACGTTGGAGTAAATGACCCTATATCGTAGGGTCAATCGCTTTTGACATGTTTAAACTCACTTTAAGGCACATGACAAGTCAAAGCTGGCCGCCCTGATTACTTTCTTATGTTTGACAGCAACTGTGCCCGTGGATTTCAGAGAAAGATATGATTTTTAGCTTGATGTTATTACAATAAGCGAAAATGTCTTCAAAGTCCACAGTTTGTTTAATAGTACAAAAATAAGAGTGTTAAAAATCAACGTTTCCTTTTATTGAGCACAATATTTGAACTGTATTGTTGTAAATAATCTAGCCAGCTGCCTATGTAACTTAAACATATTTATGTATGATCTTCATATGCCACGTCTTATGACCTCTATTATCCCTGCTGACGCTATCATAATGTTCAATTTCAGTCTGGCACTCCAAACGTCAATAAGCATTATACATGTGTTGATAAACCACACTGTCGCATATACATTTTTCTAGATATGAAACATTCTAGCTAGTTAATTGTGGATACACTGGGCACATATACATAAGAAAACTCCGTGACCGATGAATTGGTACCTTGATATGCAACAAGAAAGAATCTTGTTTATTTCCAGGTCGTCCTGATCATCGTTTACTTCATGCATGGTTAGAGGCAAGATCGAAGGCGCCGCCCAGCATTTATTAGACAACAGACAGGGTTGTCTGTTTCGCTTTGAACCATCATCCCCACCCTGTCGGTAAGGGTTATCTAATCGGTGAGCACATAACTGTGTTTGCAAGGCGCATGCGCGAGACAGGCAGGTCACGGATTTGAATGCTCTGACTCAAAAGTGAAAAACCTGTCATTTCGTAAGTCTTAATCGCCTTTTCCATGTTTTAAATCAGCTCGGATATTATTCTTGTGCTCCGTCTTCGATTTTACGTCAAGAAAGAAACTTTTACACGAGATATTTTATACTTGCAACCTCGACTATGTGTGACGTGTTGAGAGACAGTGACAGTGAATTTGTTGAGACGGTCATGGCTGCTACACTCATAAGCCAGTCCACATGTGACAGATTAGAACGAAAAAGAGCAAGAGACGAAGAAAGCAACGACAGTTGTACTAGGCAAGACGAATCGAAGAAAATGAAAAGTTCGGGAAATGCGAGCGAGCAGGACACAGTCGGCCCAAGCCAACATGGCGGGCTCAGGGAAGTTTCAAATCCAGCCAATGACACTGAAGTTAAAGGCATGCTTACCTTTCTGGTTAAATGTCACAAATGAGAACTGATCTCAACGACAGAATGTCAAGCTTTGAGAATAATCTAGAAACAAGGCTCACTGAGAAAATAGCAACAATAATTGACGAGAAGATAAAGTTAGAAATAAACAGGGCGAGAAATGATATAGACTCAATATTAGATAACTTCGAAAAGAAAATACAACAAGTTGAAAAGACTTTCTCAGAAGCTGCTAAATCCAAACCTCAAGACAGGATCATCGAGAGATCTGTTGTTATCAAGAATCTGCAGGTTCACACAGACGAAGTAACGGACCCACAAGTTACAGTTAACAAAGTAACGGCTCTTATCAGGGACGGGTTACACCTACAAGACGTGAATGTCTCTAATGTTGGGAGGAAGAAATCCTATGGTAAATACCCTGGTGTAGTGTTAGCAACTATTGACATTTTGGACCAGAAAACAAAACTTATGAAGGCTCAATCATCTCTGAAGAGCTCCCGTAAGTATAGTAACACTTTCATTGAAAATTGTACAACGTTGGAGGAGAGAATGCATAGCAACAATATGAGAACATTACTAAAGGAAATTGGGAAGAAAAATGTATATACTGTGAACAGAAGTGGATTTATTTCTAGGAAGAAAAATACCACAAGTCCCGGGGCCTAGGGGGTCAGGCTTGGTCTGTGGAACGTCGGTGGATGGTCTCTAATGAATGTAAAAAATAGACATTTTAGGGAAAATGCAGTTGGGTACTTTGACTATGATATACTATGTCTCTGTGAAACATTTCTACGGGATCAAGAGGACATTAGTCTGGATGGGTATGTATGGTTCGGTAATAATAGAACAAACCTGAATACAAAGGCTAAACGTGGATCTGGCGGTGTTGGGGTTCTTATAAAGACATAATTTTTATCTAGATATAAAGTTGAAGCACTGGACAGTGACCAGGAG